GGAGGGGCAAGGTTGGGGGCAGGAGAGGGGAGGGGCAGGAGGGGAAGGGGAGGGCAGGGTTGGGGGCAGGAGAGGGGAGGGGCAGGTGTGGGGCAGTGCAGGGGGGTGGGGCAGTGCAGGGGGGGTAGGGCAGGAGGGGGAAGGGGCAGGGCATGGGGCAAGGTTGGGGGGCAGGAGGGGGAAGGGGCAGGTGTGGGGCAGTGCAGTGGCCCTCACCCCCCACCAGATAACCATGGGGACATTCATTAAGTTTGGACACAAAGTGGGCCCCACAGGATGAAGCAAATCCAGAGCCCACAGGCACACGCCCGCCCCCGTACACGCCTGCACACACACGCCTGCACACGCCCCAGGGGCACAGGCCCCAGCTCCCCGTGCTCAGCTCCCCGGCCTGGCCCCTGCCCCATTGCAAGCGGGTCGCTCGCCGCAGCCAGCCAGCGCTCGCTGTACGCGCTGGGGAAGCTACGGCCGCACTGCAAACCCAGCCCCACGTCCAGGAGCCTCAGAGCCCAGCTCCCATGACGCAGGCTGGCGCGGCGCGGCTCAAACCGGCGCGGAGCCTGGCCCACTGGGTCCTGGCGTGTGGGGTGAGGCTCAGAGCCCCAGTGGCAACGGCAGCGTGGCTGCTTTTAGCCCCATAGCAGACTCAGGGAGAGAACCCAGGAGTCCTGGCACCCAGGCCCCCTGTTCTAACTTCCCTCCCCGACAGAAAGGAGGGGAACTAACAGTGAGGGGAAGATTGGGGAGCACAGAGCCCCAGCAGGGGGGAGCTCAGGGCCCCTGGTCTGGCAAGGGGGGACAGGGAGGCATTCCCGGAGCAGGACTCTTTTCCCTCCCGTTGGGACCGATCCTGCAGCCCTGCGCCCAATTCGGGAGGGGGCAATGGCCGAGGGGGCGAAGAGCCCCCGGACCTGCTCTGGCCTATCCGGGAGGTCAGCCTGGGTGGTCTAGGAACCCCTTCTGCCCTCAAACTCTGGGGTAGTGCAATGGGGCCCGGAGAGGTGCACACGCAGGATCAGAAGGGCCCATCTAGCCCGGTGTCCTGGCTCCAGCCCTGGCCAGCTACACAGGAAGGGGGAATTACTCGGGGCAGGGGGAGGGGTTATCTGCCCCCCACTTTAGCTCAGAGCCCCAGTAATAATTAAAGTTGGGTTTAATCCCTGAGGGGAGAGGCTCACGATCACTTCCAGAACGCAGCAGCCTGGATGAGACCAACCCCAGGCCCTCGGTGGATGGGGGGAGATGGTGGGAATCCAGCTCGAGCCGCACCCCCAGGGCCCGTCCAATCTCACGCATGGCACAGGCTGGACAATTCCCCTGGATTCGCCCTCCTGGCCACTGCGTTGCCCTGGGAGCTGATGGGGAGTGGCCGGGTTCTTGGCATCAATGACAGGCAGTGGCAGGGAGTCCCACTGGCTAACATCTCCTGTGCCTGGCACAACAGGGCCCTGATCTCAGTGGGGGTCTGGGCAGCGCCTGGCGCGACAGGGCCCTGATCTCAGTGGGGGTCTGGGCAGCACCCGGCGTGACAGGGCCTGATCTCAGTGGGGGTCTGGACAGCGCCTGGCGCGACAGGGCCCTGATCTCAGTGGGGGTCTGGGCAGCACCCGGCATGACAGGGCCTGATCTCAGTGGGGGTCTGGGCAGCACCCGGCATGACAGGGCCTGATCTCGGTGGGGGTCTGGGCAGTGCCCACCACAACGGGGCCCTGATCTTAGTCAAGTGGCTTGCACAGCGCCTGGCCTGACAGGGCTCTGCTCGGTCATACCCCAAACGATCACAAACCTAATCTACGTTTTGCTGGTGCAATTTCCCAGCAGTCGCTGTGGCTTTGGTCCCATGAACCCAGGTTTCAGTCTGACTTTCCCTAGGTGGATTTTTTTGACTCTCAACTAAATTTTCGCATGTGGAATTTCCCAGCTCTGGTTTGTTTTTCTTTTCTTGTTAGCTGCAAGAAACCAATTCGTTGTTTTCGTCAAAGGCCCTTTGGCTAATTGTCTAGATCGCCCCAGAGCATCCCAGAATCACACCCCATGACCATCCCACCCGTGTTCCCTCACACCAGTGTCGAAAGCATGGCATCTGGGAGCGAAACACACAACTCCACACATAGGGCAGGGCTCTCAGTGATAACTGGCTTGGCAGGACACTCAACCCTTCCTACCTCCGCCAGCTCAAACCCCATCTTCACCGAGGGAACCTCCTTCAAGGACCATATTCGTACCCCGAATCTCTAAGCTCAAGCGAGTGGGAGGAGCCATCGGAAACCGGACTGCGGGGGGGTTACAAAGAAATGGGACCCGCACATGCAAAGCATCGTTCGCAACATCGAATGAAGCCGTTTCGCTCCAATCAGCCCCAAACCAGGCCAACAAAAAGCCAGTTTGGGGACAAGTGACAATCAATGACCGGCAGGGAAAGGCTGACACAGCTTTCAACCCCTGGTCCCTCTGGACTCCCCCGCCAGAGAGAAAGTCTCCCCTGAGCACTGAGGTGGGGAAACTGAGGCATGGAGAAGGGAAGTTATTTGCACAAGAACACGCAGCATGTGGGAGAGCCAAGATGCAGGAGTCCTGGCTCCCAGCCCCCCTGCTCTAACCCCTAGCCCCCACTCCCCTCCCAGAGCCAGGGAGAGAACCCAGGAGTCCTGGCTCCCAGCATGCCCCCAACCAGTACACTACACAGAAGCGTGGGGCAAAGAGTGGGGGGCTAGATATATGTTGAGCGTCGCTGACTCTCAGCAAAGGATCAGACATTTCGGGGGGCAGCCGAAGCAGCCCTCCCCATGCAATGGGGGTACAAAGGATTCTCTGGGCAGAGAGGAGCAAACCAGACAGTTTGGGGGGAGCAGCACAGAAAGGGGGGTCCCCACTCACCCCTAATAACAAAACATCAGGGTCACGCAGTGAATTCCCCCCTCCTTGCCCCACTCCCCCCACCACACACAAGAGCTGTGCCCCCGACTCCTCCCAATGCTGCCCCCATCTCCCTCCTCCCCGCCACACCGTGGTGCCCCCCATACTCCTCGCCCCACTGGCTGTGAATTCCCAGTGTCCTACCTCAGTCACCACCCCCCAGCCCCCCTCCTCCTCCTCCTGACCCCCACCTGCCTCCTTACATTCCCCAACATCCTCCCCGCAAGGGTCCCTTCGCTCCTACCCCCATCCTACCCTCTGCTCCCCAGGGTGCCCACTCCCCACCCTACCTGCCTCCAAGGGGCGCCCCCATAAGGGCACCCCTGTCCATCCCCCCACAGCCCGCCCTGGCTATCTCTGAGGGTCCCCTAGCCATCCACCCGTGCCCCCCACACCTTCCCCATGCCCCCCAGCTCCCCCTCCTGTGCCCCCCAGCTCCTCCCCATCCCTCCCCTGTGCCCTCAGTTCCCCCAACCCCCGTGCCCCCAGCTACCCCTCCCCCTTCCACATGCCCCCCAGCCCCCCCAACTCCTGTGCCCGCCAGTTCCCCCACCCCCTTCCCTGTGACCCCCACCCCCGTGCCCCCAGCTACCCCTCCCCCTTCCACGTGCCCCCCAGCTCCCGTGCCCGCCAGTTCCCCCACCCCTTTCCCTGTGCCCCCACCCCCGTGCCCCCAGCTACCCCTCCCC